TTTTTTTCTTTTTGTGGCTGTCAACTCTAAGGGAGCACCGGCCAATTCTATCGTAACATTCTCTAACACTGGCTCCTGACCCACAAGCCTACCGAGTAGCCACACTGCATGCTTCATACGGGCCACTGCGCCCCGCAAACAGTATTCCAACAAGGCAGTTATCAGATCCATTCACTAAGCTACCTAGCATAGACACTCTGGCGGGCTGTGCCAAAGGGTTACAAGCCTGCAAAACTTATCCAGGAAACATATGATTGTGTCGCATTCCAGGACACCTTTCTAAAAATTCTTCTTTTATATATTTATAAAAACTTTAAGGCTTTGAAGGAATGTGACATCGACACCGACTTCCTGCAGCTCTGTCTTGTGCAGACAGAGGGCTTCGATGAGGGTCCGGATAAAGATCAAAGCAGAAAAACAAATATTAAGGAAGCTATCGAGGACTTTACAGAGTATATTATAGATAGTTTTCTCCTTCCATGTATAATATGCGTTTAAGATGTGTCTGGTTCTATTGTTTTTAGCATCACCAAATACGCGTCGGAAAATTACTGGTAGTCTTACTGGATAGCTGGCCGCATGCAGTAATTAATTAATTAAAAATAAATAACTGGGATATTCAATATTATATAAAAGCTGATTGAATATATTTTATTTAGTATACCTAGACTAGAATATTAAACATGAGAAGAAAAAGAAGAAAGTATAAAAGAATATATATAAATAATAAAAATAAACAAACGAAGCAAAATAAATAAAGCAAACAGAACTATGCCATGTGATCCAGTTACATGCCTCCGAACACCGCTCGCCATCACAACTAATAATTAAGATCGCGTGATCTGGGAACTCTGTAATCTTAATTACTTCTCTGAGTGTGCCTAGATAATAAAGAATCAAGTGTTTCTTATGACTTTAATATTGACCTAAAACATCGTTTTAACATCTTATTATCATTGGCGGAGCAGCGAGGTTGCTGCGTATATCAGAGACAGGTGAGTTACAGCGATCTGCCCCTTGTAACATACATTACGCGCCGAGGATCAGGGGGTCTTCCGGAATAATCTAGAGAATAGTTTAGCCCTTCTTGGCATTAGGGTTTGGGGAACAACAGAAGACTATAGATGGTGACACTGTTTACCGAAATCACTGTACTAATCAGCAGTGAAATGAAACATCTTCGAAGATAGTGTATGTCAGCCGTCACTAGTAGTCCACCCATATGATACCTCATTCGGGATCAGGTAATAAGGAGAGGACATCAAGATACCCCCTTTAGGACTAGCGTGGGTGCAGCCGTGGAAGACTTAAGATGGAAGAGCCGCACAGAGATGCATCATGTATGGGTAGGACTGCTGGAACAGGATGCAGGGTTCCAGTTGATTCGTTAACTGTCAGGGTGCTGTCATTAATGAACTAAGATGCGAGCCCCAACAGAACCAGCAACAGATGTTATCCATCGACCGGGAATACTCTTTTCTCCCAAAGAATCCCTGTTAACTACAAGATAGATTGATGCTTCGCAATCTGACCCCATTTCGGACCCGAATGTGAAATGTTCTGTCTTATCGGTATGCCGCTCGGGGAAATTAGGCTCATTTGCATACCCTTTTTGGTGTTATCTATAGTCCCTTGCTGCTACTCCCGACGGATCAGTCTCGCTTCCGACGGGATGTGAACCTTCACCTCTCCAGTAGTCTCATTTTGGCTCACCATTAACGAATAGAAATGCAGGGCTACGCAACGGTGGCAACAATGTGGGTCTACGGCAGACATCATACTAGGGACTGGTATCTAGACTCTTCATCGACCATTTTCTTTCCATCGTATATAATGTGAGTGGCCCCCGAGCTCGGCCGCTCGGCCGCATTCTCGTCCCCGAAACCGTGTCTGCTCGGAGGTGAATGAAGATGTCATCGCAAAGCGCAGAGGACAACACCCGTTTAGAGCAAGTCTTAGATGGGTCAACTCCATACGACTCCGAGTCCACCCTCAGTCGCGGCGACTTGCAGGAAAAGCCATCCGACCTCGACGATGAGGACCCCGAGGCGCTGACTCGGCTCGAGACGGCCCAGTCAGCCGTTAAGCCCCCCTCCGAACTATGGAAAGAAATCATCTTCATCGCCGTCGTCTGCATGGCTCAATTCATGACCCAAGCCGGTCTATGCATGTCCATTGCCCCGGCTCACATCATCGGTGCCAGCTTTGGCACCACCAATGCAGGCCAGCTCAGTTGGTTTGCTGCAGCCTACAGCTTAACTGTCGGGACCTTCATCCTGGTTGCTGGTCGGCTCGGGGACGTCTACGGCCATCGGCTCATGTTTATCATCGGCTTCTCCTGGTTCGGTCTCTGGTCTCTCCTGGCCGGCTTCAGCGTCTGGTCGAATAAGGTCTTTTTCGACTGCTGTCGAGCATTGCAGGGAATTGGTCCCGCCATGTTATTGCCGAACGCCATTGCCATTCTGGGACGAGCCTATCCTCCCGGTCTGCGCAAGGAGATGATCTTTAGCTGTTTCGGAGCTACAGCCCCGGGCGGGTTCATCGTCGGAGGTGTCTTCTCCTCCCTCTTTGCTCAGCTCGTTTGGTGGCCGTGGGCATACTGGGTTATGGGCATGGTGTGCTTTGTACTGGCAGCGCTCGGTATTCTTGTGATTCCGGTTACCCGTCGCCCGAAGTTCACAGACGACATGACGGCCTGGACGCGACTAGATATTCTCGGTGCCATCACCGGTATCTCGGCCCTGGTCCTGATCAACTTTGCCTGGAACCAGGCTGCCCTTGTGGGATGGCAGACACCCTACACCTATGCCCTTCTAATTGTCGGATTCGTTTTCTTTGGTGTCTTCATTTTTGTTGAACGCTCGGCCCCGTGCCCCTTGATCCCACGATCAGTCCTCTCCGGTGACCTGGCCTGGGTGCTCGGGTGCATTGCGGCGGGTTGGTCCAGCTTCGGAATTATCATCTACTACTTCTATCAATTCATGGAAGTTATCAAGGGTGACTCGCCACTACTCGCGACCGCTAAATGGTCCGCCGCTGCGCCGTCCGGCGCCGTTGCTGCACTGGTTACCGGTTTCCTGCTGGGAAAGCTACCACCTAGCGTGATCATGTTTTTCGCCATGTGCTTCTTCACTGCTGGACAAGCCATCTTCGCCACTGTCCCTGTGCATCAGACGTACTGGGCGCAGGCGTTTGTCGTTAGTCTGATCACGTCGTGGGGAATGTACGTACCGAGTCCAATAACCCCTTCATTTTCGTTACATATATTAACCGACAATAGGGACATGTCCTTCCCATCAGGAACACTTATTCTGAGTAACTCGATGCACCATCACCACCAGGGTCTGGCAGCATCTCTTGTCACGACAACAGTCAATTATTCTATCTCGCTGGGACTGGGATTCGCCGGTACTGTGGAGTCGAACGTCAACGATGGCGGGAAGAATCCCCTGAAGGGCTACCGCGGGGCGCTTTATCTTGGCATAGGCCTTGCTGGGTTAGGAATGGTGACGTCTATTTGCTTCATGTCGGTTAGCTGGAGACGTCATCGTCTGGGGAAAGAGTCGACATGATGTGGTAGTGCTGAATGGTCATGATAAATGGCGTGAGTGCGGAGGCTGCTAGCTTTGAGCTTCGCTTGTCTGAAAACAAAAAATGTGCTTTGATAGTCTTATACCCTACATAGATGAGATGCTATTTTCTCCGTTATATATCAATGATATGTGCATTCCTCTGACTTATGCTCTTCTTTGGATAACCATAAGCCGTGAGAGAAAGCCCCTCAGCGTGTCCGCAGCAGGTGAAACTCTTCTGATGCTTGTGGAAGGTGCACCTTGATACGCAGGGAGGCAGTTAGGGCGATTAGACTGGTGCCGATAGGAGAGTTGTCATTGTTGGTTCCGGAGGCAATTCCGTTGGTAGATGGGTTCCCAACGGGGATTTATATACAAGGCTGAACTGTTGTAGAGCATGCCTACTAGTAGATAAGCCGTGTTGGAATAGTGATCCTATAGGTTCTCGGGGGAGGCTTCGGGCCTGGGCTAATGATCAGCGAATCAGGTTCCTCCCGAGCTGTTGTCGTCCCGGCCTGGTCTATAGGTCACTTAGTTGTACTTGAGTGGGGATCCCTGCTATCTCGTTGGAGTGGGATTCGTCCAGGATATTGGCGCCGTTCTATGAACCAAACATTAGGACGCCATCCAGGATTTGGCTGCGTCGTTGGCAGGACACCGAATGTGCATCCAGCCTGATCAGTCCCCGATCGCGCCTTCCTAACCAGGTGGGCACGCACATCGCCTGATTGTGGCCACAAAACTGGAATCCAACTACTGACATCTTGCCGTTGCTTGATTCTATCCAAATCAACATCGTAAAATTTCTCCGAGGTTTTTAAAACCATTATTTTCTCTTCAGAGATGTTATCGTTCATTGTGCCGCTTCAGCTGAGATGAATGCGAAAGGGATGCGACCGTGGCGCAGTCGGCGCTACTGAGATATGCATGCATCAATGGTGAGCAGTTGTGTCCTATCATTCTGTCCAAGGGGATATGTTAGTATGTGTACTCGCTGTGAGCAGTGGAACGATGAGCCACTAATCTTGTCCAAACCACTCACCATAGGCGCTGGCGCTGCAAGGCTGTTTTGTTCTCTAGACAATGTGAATGGCGTATGTCATTACATGCTGGCTCAATGATGCACTTCGCCAGCGGCCCGGGCAGTGACTCCCGACCTTACGTACTATTTAGGATCGATGATTGAGTATGGCCTATCAGAATGAAGTCATGAGTGATCTTTGACTAAAATTCCAACATTAACTATCGGTGGAATCGATAACGTTCAGCTAGCAGCATGACGCATCGCCGAACTGTACTCTAGCCACGCTTCACTTTGATGCGTACCAAAGAAGTGAGGCCCACTGGGAAAGGGTTTCGGCGCGCATTCACTTCCTGTCAATTCACTTGGAGAAAGTACAGAAAGTACACGGACATGGACTCAACATTGCTCAATTGTAATAGGCTACCAGATTAACAGCAACCCATAACACACTGCCACATCACTCTCTAGCCGGCTGTCGGCGCCTTGACGCGTCGGTATAGGAAAGATAATCAGCCAGGGTCCCATCATTTGCTACCATCAAGAGAAGGCTGCATCGGTAGCGCCGCTTGTATGTCTTGCTAACAGGGATAGCATCCCTCCAGATGGTGAGTTGGCCCCATCGCATCTATTTAAATGCTGCCTGCGGTACTCGTTGTCAACTAACAACAGTCATTCATCTTTTCCGCAGTACCATACCACTATCACAACGCTTCAACAAAATGTTCGTCGCTCAGACTCTTGCGGACGTTTTCAATCATATCGCCTTCCCCCCCAAGCTTCCTGGCAAAAAGGACCGGGAGCCAGAAAAGGTAGAACGCGACCTCATCATCCGCTTGCGTTATGCAGTACAGACCCTCTGCAACGTTGCAGACGACGCTTTGAAGCCTGTCTGGGAGTCTATTATTGCGACCCTCGACACATGCAGCGCAGTGAATCAAAATGGAATGGTGAACAAGGTCGCTCTGCTCGACGCGTTGGGGAAAGTACATCCAGGAGGAGCTGTCATAGTGAATATCGGAGAGCAGAATGCGGCCCTTCTTATTCGGATGCCCCAGTAGGTTTGAACCAGGGTTCCTGAGATTCAATACTGACAGTCTCTTGCCAGGAGCGGTGATCATGTCATCATTGAGGCCTTTGAAACATCTCCAACCGCAGAAAAAACTCTTGCCGCCTCGGGAGCATTACAGTGGACCTTCCCAGCAACGGCCGTATCCTTGCCCGTCGAAGAGTTTAAAGATCCGGTCCTCCAAGCTTCTCTCGCGGACTTTCTCGAAAAGGTGAGCATAGAAAAGCTGGAGCACAGCGCGGCCAAAGCACGGAAAGCTGGAAAGGAGGTGGTTGAGAGCCGTGATACGGTCGACCCAGCCATAATCACCGATTTTCTGATAACGCTACTTGGGGCAAACGGTAGCCATATATCCCCACCAGCATTGCAAAAGCGTGTCAAGGACGATGTGTGCTGGGACAATTCTGAGCTTCCTTGGCGGCGGAGTCCATTTTGGCTTGTGCTTCGAGTGTCTCTTCAGCGCTTGCTTTATCTGTACCTGGATCATGACCTAGGCCGTCTACAGTACAAATATCTGCTATGCACTGTTCTGGCACATCTCCTCGGCGACCTTACTAGTAACGGAGTCTTGGAGCCGGAGCAGTGGAGCTGGCTAAACACCAAATTGTGTCGCCGATTAGCCAAATTGGAAACAGAAAGACAGACGTCGTCAACAGCAGTGAACACAGTACATGCCCACCTGTCCCAGAAACTTGGACCTGCTTATGAAAATAACGTCACTGCCGCAAGAAACGCCATGAGCAATAAGTGGGAAGCATTTAAAAGGGGTACTAAGCGAAAGATACCGCATTTGCCACTTTATTCCCAGCCCAAAGACCTTCTATTGAGCTTACCCAATAGCATTTCCTATCTTCAAAAGGTTCTGAGTCTTCCCCAGACTCTAGCGCAGAGGACAAGGAATGTAAAGCCTGTCGACTTGTCCACTCAGAGCAGCAAAGGCACTGGTGATCAGTTTGCGTCTCTAGTTAGGCGGTATACGTCGATCGCTGAGTTAGAGCTCAAGATTGAGTTGGGAAAGAAAAAGACCCCAACCTCAAAAGACGAAATTGAAGACTTGTGCCTGAAAATTGCTCGCTGGATTAAAGGTTACTTGGACCTTGTAGGGCAATCCGATAACCGAGATCAAGAGCAGATGAGCTTTGTGATTCTGACTGTGCTGGAGCTATGGATATACATGGACAAATGTGCCATAGCTACATATCCCGTCCTCTCAGAGTATCATCCTGTGTTTTTCCCTGAGCTATTGGACGTCTTGCTGTTGTCGACGCTTGCCGATTTGAAGCGACTACAGGAAGTCCAAACATACCTACATAATCGTTGCACCGCGGCCGTTCGAAAGGAAATGACAATTTTCACTGATCCAGTACCAGGATGCTTCGCCGACCGCTTCCTGGAACTCTCAATTGGCAAAGACCTAGTTAAGCTACAAGGCAAGATCGAAGCCGCATCTTCGGTAGCTCAGGATAAAAAGATGTCTGAGCTGATAAGTGTCAATCAAGAATTCAAATCTTTGACAGAGGCCAAAGATAGTAGTGTTTGCACCCAGCGCATGAACCCCGACGGCACCCATGACATCCGAGGATGCAGCCACTGCTATTATATTCGGCGCCGCCGACGTTTGCAGATCGCCGTGCATGAGGATTACCTGCCTGCCGATCACAAATTGTACGAAAAAAGGGCCATTGTATTTGAACTAGGCTTACCTCCTGTGTTTGCCGCGTATCGAAGTGCGACTTGGACCATCATCAATCGCCTGGGGCCCCCAAAAGACTCAGACAATGCAGATCAACCTCATAAATTGCTCCGGGAGCATGCTCCGCTTGCTAGCTACTTGAAGAACAAGTCGAATGGAGGTGTTTCCCTTGCATCCTATACAAAATCTCATCTGGGTACACACTACAAATGGAAAAGCTTGCCCGCGTCAACGAGCAGTGTTCTTCGCCCTTTTGGACTAACATTCTTGTACTATGATACTGACCGGCAGGTATGGGTCAAAAGCAAGCATGAGCCACTCACATTTTCGCAACATTTTCTTCTTCGTCTCCCCCCAAATCTTCCGTTCTCAAGTTTGTACTCCTCTTCCAATTTTGCCCCCGATGGCCCTGGTCCTTCTTCATACGAGTCCATTGCAAAAATGCGTCATTGCCCGTCTACAGTGACGGTACACGAGTTTTTGGCTCACCAGACTTTGATGTCCGGTAAGCATCGTCGGTGGTTGTCAATCCTCACTGAACTTGGATCTTCCAACATCAATCTCAGCTCGCTAGATGCGATGGTTCTTCTGCGCCACCTTGCTTTGCAAGTCGGTCCCAATTTGGAGGATGACACACTTCGAGTGGTGCATACGGTATTCAGGGATATTTGGTTCTGTAGACGGCTGATTGAGCAAATCGATCAGCACGCTACCACCATAGCACCAAACTGGCGTGAAGTTACTTATATGGAGACTCTACTTACCTTGTCCATTCAGGTATATAACCTTGGCTGCCAAGATTCTAAAGCAGGAGCGGAGGATTTGTTGCTCAAGATCCGCCGCATTACACTGAACTGGATCAACCACTTGCGCTTAGAGACCAGGAATGCCTTAGAGGTGGACATTGCCGAAAGAGCAGCTCGCTACTGCGTTTTAGCTGCTTTGCTGTGTCGGCGAACTTTTTTCCCAGAGGCTCATGCCGGTGGCACTCTAAATTCGGAAAGCTTCCAGTGCTTTATTGAAGCTACTCTGGCTATGCAGGAAAGTATGGTTATCGATTTGAGCAAATTCGATGACCTTACGCACAGCATGTTAGTACGTGACCTAAAGATGGCTGTTCGACTTCGATCAAGTGTGCAAGCTGCCGTTAAAGCACATCCTGATAGTATTGCATCTGCTATTGACAACGTGTGGCCTATAAGCGTCACTGGGGGCCA